GTTTCTAGTTATGGACTTCAATGTGACACTTGGAACATTCCACATCAGCCCTCCAAGGCTTACCTAGAAGGAACACAGTGAATGTTGTGCCACAAAATGGGCCAAACTGAACAGTGAGCCAGTGGGATGTAGCAGTTACGAGTGTAGGACTGGGACTCAAGAAATCTAAGTTCTAGTCCCCCCTGAGCCTTGAAGCTCACTGGGTGACTTTGAGCCCATCACAGACCCTCAGTCCAACCTAACTCACAGGGCTGTGAGGATAAGATTAAGAGGAGAAGGTGAGTTATGTAAGCTGCTTTGAGTTCCTTGAAAGGGAAAAAAGGTGGGGAAAATATAATTAAAATAAAATCTTGTGAGCATTGGCATTGCTGTTGAGTTGAAAAATCTCATATTCTAGCAAAAGCCCTACCAGATCAAAGTCTATGCAGCACCTTGAGAACTCCTTCCATGTTTACTGAAATTAAAGATGGAAAAAAGATTTCATAGTGAGCAGCAGATCATCATCTACTTCAAGGCACTGATTCAGCAACTCAACAAGACAGCCAACTACTCCACTCCAAATAGCACCAATATCTCTCCAGTCAGATATGTACTGGTGGCATTCCTTGCTTCTCTTCCTATGCTTTGTTATCAGCTAAATTCTTTCAGCTTCACTGTTCCATCTGGCTGCTTAACAGCTTCACTTTGAAAGCTTTGACCGAAGTGTCAAGTAAATACAGCTTTTTCAATGCCAATGTTGATTTTACCAACATTGTCATCTTCTTTGTATTGAGGATGGTGACCCCATCTTTGTTCATCCGCTTCAAGTACCTGCTGAAGATTTAAGTATAGAAGCTAGAAAGGACCAACAAGCTTATTTTCTCCTACAGAGGAATGCAAGAAATCCGTATGTTGCCTTTTCCTCATACGTCTTTAGGAAGAGAACCTGAGAATACCAAGACACTAGTACTGAATGCAGGAAAACTCTGTTCATCTGGCTTCAAAAGGATGGGGGAAGTGGAAGGGGACAACAGTTGTTGGTTTCTACAATGTTCCAAAGTTCTCTGGATGTGTGGAAATATGTGCTTAGCCCTAGATGCAATTTTACTAAGTTATGTAATTGTTAAGATCTCCATGCAAGATTTGACTGATGAACTCCACAGCAGAACTTCAGTGCAGGGAGAGAAGATCCTTGATTACCAATTATCTTGATCCCTGATGGAAGAGAGTCTGCAAACCAGGCTCCCCACTTATGCTGAGGGATTCGCCATCTATGACCAAAAGAGATACCTGCATGAAGATGTGCTTAGCTGCTATAGGTCCAAATGTCTTGCTGCAGGCATCCTCAACTGAATCCAGCACTCTTTTTGTGGTGCATCTTCAGGTTCACTGGCACCTGCTTTTCATCTCCATGTTTTGTAATGCCTTTCACCATTACATAATCTTTGTCAGTTCTGGTTTAGTCTAAAGTGGTGTCACACATAATGGACAACACCAACGTATCTTCAGTCAATTTTTTGTGAGACCCTCTGTCACATTCTAGACATTCGCTGGACACATTCTTTGTGGTTATCTCAGGCCTACCAGTTCTACACTGTTGGGCGCAGGGTGGGAAGAGATATTAACTTATTGACAACTGTTCCTGTAGAAAATAAGTGTGCGCTTAATCAATTTCTCCACATTTTCATGTTAGCTGCTTTGAGTTCTTTTTGCAGGAGGAAAGAAGGCAAGATAAAAATATAACAAACTACTGAGCAGGGTAAGGAAAGGGCTGCTTCCAGAAGAGCTCCTAGGCTGTGCTAGTTCCAGATTTTTGAAGGCCCTTTGGCAAGACGCCATCAATGGGCCCTCTCCCTGCATGAGTTTACCCTGCCACCCACCCTCTCTGTCACAAGCTGGTATTGTACTTCATTCCCTTTCTCAGCGTGGCTGCCACCTGCTTGCTTAACAGGTAGAGAGACACAGAACAAGTAAGCAGGGGCATCTACTGTTGTACCTTCTTACCAAGACCATTTCTGGACCAAACAAAGAGGCAGATAAACAAGCAGATTGGAACAATTAAAGGGGGAAGCAGCTCCGGGGTAATCTTGGCAGTGGGCCCCTGGTGGGATGTTGCCCCTTGGCAGGTGCCCATTTATGCCCAACTTTGATACCACCTCAACTCCTGGTGCTCCCAATCAAATGCTATTGTGCTATCATTCCTCCTTTCCCCCCCCCTTTAAGTAATTTTCTGTAGCCAGAAGCAAAGATTAAAGAAGCACTGGGAAAACATCAGAGGGTTACCAGTGGAATACATCACGGAACCCCATGTAACATTTTGCAAATGAGGCAGGGTGAAAATCTAGCTTAGAAGCACCTACAGCACGATCATTTCAATTCCATTCCCTCTTATGTTCCTTTTGCTGCCGGCATTAGACTGTGCCCTCTTTGGCCATGCATGCATTAAGACAAGTGAAGAGACTTGGTTGCCCCGTCCAATCTACTCTGGCCCTCACTGAGACAGGCTGTACCACTCCAGACTGCAAGTGTGTGGGTGGTTGTGCAAGGGAAGCAGAGAAGAGTCACAGAATGGTAGCATCTCAGTGAGATGGCTCAGCGCCACCCCTTGCCAACATGGCTTTCTACATGCATGGGATTTTATATTTTATTTATTGAGCCCTCACCTGCAGCAAAGACACCAGGCCCCTGCAGTCGCAATAGCAGCAAGATGCAGGAGGTGAAAAAACACCTTTCTCCCAGAGGCAACATGGGTCAGATCCAAATCAACTGTCCCACCCACCTGCTATTCAAATCCCTAAGAAATGTCAAGTTGCAAACTGCAAACTATTTAACAGCTGCCAGTGTTGAATCATCCTGGGTTGAAACCCTGTAAAAATTAACAGCACAATCTGATGACGTTCTAGACTGCATCCAGAGTGCCACAGGATCATTTGGGTTCCCAGATGTCCAATCCAACTGCTGGCACTGAAGGAACTGTCTTGGCTCCTTCTCTCATGTTGCAAAAACAACCTCAGAGAAAGGGTTTTGGGGAGGAGACTGACACCACTAGGAATCACCACTGTGTCACGGTGTTGCTTCGGTTTCCTTCTCTCCCTCTCCCAAATCCCATAGTCACACAAGGAAATCAGCCTGTAAGGATGTCTGTAATCTTGCAAGTTTGGATTTACTGAACTGCACCCAGCTCTTTCTCCAAGAAGCACTGTAACTATATTCAGAGGAGAAGCTGTTTGTTGTTTCCTGCTGCAACAGATTAAGGATGTTGGGGCACATGACAGAAAGAGAGAATGAATGACGTATTTTATGGACTACACCTCACCCCATCAGATGCATGATGTTGCATTTGATGGTGGGCTCCAGTTCATCAAAGCATTGCCATAATAGAGCATGTTTGTCCTGAAGGTACCACAAGCCTTTGTGTTTTAAAATCATGCTAAAAGAGTCCACAAGGGTATGTTCAGAAGCTGCATAAGTCATGCTTGAGTTCATCTAGAAGCTCTTTGAAAAAGAAATTGTGCAAGATTGACTTAACTTGATAAGCATTTGGTTTCTTTTGGCTCCTGGACAAGAAATGGTCTTCTATAAAAGTTAATTCTTGCTTTTGCATTATACATACTGAGCTGTCAGTCACTGCTCGCTCAACAGGAAGATTCCCAGCATGGAAGAAACTAAGCCAGATTCTCATTTAACTCGTCCATCTACAAGCCTCGACACATCCCCCCCACCCCCAACTCCAACAGAAAACACCCTGTTCAGAAACAGGCTGCCAACTACACTGAAGCGAGCAAGCCCTCCCCCCACCCCAAGACTTTGATCTCTTTCCTCTAGGCACTAAGTTACTAAAGAGAAGATTAGGGCAGGCAACAGTCGAGATTTAAAAATATATCTAATCACCTGTAGCCAAGCCTCTCTCTTTGCAGAAACATCCCGCAATACAGGATCAAGTTAACATGCAAATATAACAGAAAACAGAGACTATGCCTTTTCCCACTTTACGAAGGGATGGGGGGAAGCCCCACTTGACTCAAACCCAGTTCAGCCACAGATAGTTAAAACTAATTACAGCTATTTATTTCTGCCCAAGCCTGTGATTTACAATCATGCAGAGAGGTAACGAGACGGACCGATCGCCCTACATGACGTCTATAATTACCAACAGTGTGCAGTATAAAACGCTGGTGGGTTTTTAACGCAGAAAAGGCAGCACCCTCCTGCCCGCGTGAAAGATTCCCGGTATGCAGGGTTAAGGATTTCAGGCTAAGCTGGTGTAGGGAGAAACATCACATGACAGAGAGCGGGCACTAAGGCCGTGCAAGGCGGCCCCCGCCACCTCCCTAATATAACCAAACGGGCAGAAGGGTCAGCTCTTCCGAGGAGTAACTACTCGCACTTTAAAAGGCATTTTCGCCGTGCAAAGTGAGAGTCTTTCAGATATGCGCCACCCCTTCAAAGTAAGGGGCGCACCAGAAAATGCGGGGGAGGGAGAGGAAGAGGAGAGAACGCACCGGGAATGTCATTTGGAGGTGGCTACATTCAGGCGCACACGAGGCATTCTCAGCCGCGGAAAGCTTCCTATTCAAATAATGGCCCTTCTAAATGGCTTTGTGGTAAAGGAATTCCTTTTGTGGCGATATAGACTTTTTTTTAAAAAAATGTACACATAAAGAAGGGCAGATGGGTTTCTCAAACACCCTTCCCACCCCCCCACCCCCAAAATTATCCTAACCCACGAAAGCAATCACTAAAAAGCATTTGCTAGAATACCGGAGAGGTCGCTAGGAGTAGCCCAGCCTATGCTCTAGATGCCAAGGATCCAGAGAAGGGAAATTAAACTACTCCTGCTTTTTATTTGCTCAGCTCCCACGCGCGACCGTGGGCAGCAAGGGGTGGGGTGTGCCCGCGCGCCTCGACGGGGCGGCTGCCCCGGCAGCTCGAAGGGGGCAGCGCAAGCACCCTGCCCTGGCAGGAGAGCGCCGCCCGGCAGAGCCATCTCCCTCCGTTCCTCCCGAACAGGCGGCGGGTACCTCGCAGCCGTAGAGCTGCCCGAGCTGCTCCACGATCCACTCCTCCAGCACCAGCCTTTTCCGCAGCTCCTTGCGATCGTATTTGACCGTCACTTTGCCCTGCTGGTGGCGCCGCTGCTGCTGCTGCTGCACTTGCACCACCGCCGCCGCGGGGGCGACCGAATCCTCCCGGGACGCGCCGCCGCCGCCGCGGGGGCTCTGGAAGAAAACGCGGTTCCCTCCGCTTCCTCCAGTAGCAGCGGCGGGGCCAGGCTCGCTACCCCCGGTGACCACCGACATCGCCCGCTTCGGCTCCCTCGCGGGAGATCCGCTGCTCCGGAGCTCGCTTACTGCACGGAGCGCCGCCGGGGCTGCCGCTATGGCTGCCGACCAAGGCTCGGCGCCGCCGCGCAAGAGCCGAAGCGAGGGAGCGCGTCTCGCCTTCCCTGCACCTGCGGCTTGCAGCCTCTCATTGCTCTGCACTAGCCGCCGGTTCGGCTGCCGAAGAAGGGGAGGAGCGTCGGAAATCTGAAATCGGGGCGGGGACAGCGCCTTAAAGACACCGTCGAGCGTCTCCCGGACGCTGGAGTCGGTGCCGCGCTCTCCTCACATTCCTGATGGTTGGAGCAGTTCTCGCCTCGGCTGGCCGACCATCTTCCCGCCAGTCCCTGCGGGCTCTGACTTCTGCTTGCGGACGGGCTCTCAGAATTGCACGGGTCTCCGGGCTGAAGTTCACCAGGTCCAGCCTTGTCCAACAGGCTGCACCTGCTGGTGCTTGAATTGACTTTCTCCCGCTCATGCAGCTATTAAAGGAAAAGGAGTCCTTCCAAGGAAAGGTGGCTGAAAGGGCTCCTGTTCCTTTAAGAAAAAACAAAATCCCTGCAGCAAATCGTGGTTGATCCCTATTGCTGAAAATAAAAAATCCAGTTGTTTGGGGGTTAAACCGTTGTATGTTTGTTCTTCCCAGCAATAATTAGAAAGGTCTCCAGTGCAATGTGAAACTAACTCCGGTAGAGGATAAAGGGAGGGTCTGCACTGCAGCCTTTTCTCACTTTCCATTTTAAGGCTGTGGGTGTTTCCAGACCGAGGCTCTTAGCGCTAATAGGCAGGAGGCAATGGACTGCTCCGTCCTTTATTCTGTAAAGGATGCGAAGGAACATGGGCGACTTATGAGCGGAAGCAAATGACATCTGGACCCTCCACAAAATCCCGTGAAAGATGCAGGACAGTAGTATAATAGCCTCGTCGCGAAGCATGCAAATTCCATGATTTGCCCATCAGTTGCTATTTTCCCCTGCTATCCCTTTCATGCTTCGTTTACAATCTTGCGTGAAGAGAAGTTGAAAGGGGAAATTGAAAGCTGGCATGGTATTTTGTGAGCTTTGAGTTGCCTTGATGAACATATTGCCAGCTCAGTGATACGGCTTTTGGGCTTCTCTTTTGAAATGTTTCTTTTGGCCAACACAGGTACCTTCATGTTTTGTTTGACATCAGAATAACGGTGGGACTTGGACAGTGCCTTTGAAGGTCAGACTGAAACCCGGAGTGGATACACTGCCCCATGGATACGGGAGCCGCCAACCTCAGCTGACTGTGTCCGTGGACGGCAGGAGGGGAGTCACTTGAGTTACACGGAAAGGAGAATTTCATTAGGAGCACAGAAACAGCACCAGGCGGAGACCTTTTTATTCAAATGTCATTTTAACTGTTAATAGTATTTATTTATTTTATTCTTTGGCCAGGGTGACTTAATTTAGACTGTTAATTTATATTATTTTAACGAAGTTTGTGAGCCGCCCCGAGGCTTTGGCAAATGGGGCGGCATAGAAATTTTCTAAATAAATAAAGAGGGATAACTCAATCTGGTACAAGCTCTGCTTCAGCAAGACTTGTAAGAATGCAGCAATTCTCTACAGGAATAAATCTACAGTCCAGCTGAGCAAGGTTCCCCCTTTAGAGCTTTAAAACTTCAAATAAATAATGCAGTTGAATAGACATGGATAAACAGCTTCAGTCACCATATGACAGAACCCTGGTCAGCCATGACCCTTCCTGCATGGTCCTGGGCAGAAGCTCTCTCTGGGAGCACACGATAAGTACCACTGGTCAAACAGGCCTGCCGGTGCTGCTTTTGCCTTACATCATCCCAAGGCCTTTGTCCTTTATACCTGGGAAAAGCAAGCCCTACTGAACTCAGTGCAGCTTACATCTGCGCAGACGTTTATGCAGTCAGTGGCTTAGACAGAACATACTGGGGCTCAGTTCGTGTTCCATGTGATCTCGAGGATGCCCTCGTAGCAAGCTCATCTTATGTTCGTGCAGCTGGAAAAGTGAGAGCATCAAGGCTGAGGCTGCCTCCTGCCCATTCGAAGAACTCTTCTGAGAAATTTGACAGTGACACTTGATGCTGGAGGTGTGTTTACGTAGCTTGCAGAAGAGTGTCATGTGCCATTTTCTTACCAAAGCCACTTCAATGTGTGTATGTCTCTGTGTGTGCTTGTGGGGGGGGGGGGGAGGTGTCTAATCTGGCTAGGGACAGTGTCACAGGGAGAAGGGATTTAAACTTTTCCACACCTGAATCCTCTTCCTGCCAAAAAGGAGTAACACCCCACTAAAACTGCCACTTGTCCCCAAGGATGCTTTTTAGGGAGTGATTTCCAGCAAAGAACAGAGTAGTGGGAAATAATTTTTTTGAAACCCTTCTCAGCAGTTTGGTCCCAGTCCTAGCCTTTTTTGTTGAGAAACATGCATGGCCAGTCCTAAATGCACTACTAAATTTCACTACATGAAATGGGCTGTTTTGTCCTAAACCTGCATCTTTTGAAGGTGCTTTAAGCTCTATCTGTTTAAGCTGGCTTTTGTAGGTTAGAGCAAGGTGAAGAAGTTTTTTAAAATGATACTTTAGTTTGATCAATTATTGTTCTGTTTTAATGATGAGTTCAGTGTATGCTTAATTCTTACTCAGCTTTAGCCTTCTGATCAGGTGGACTTTAAAGAGGTGTAAGTAAATCTATATGAAACAGATTTTAAGGCTTAAAGCAGCTTCTAGAGTATGCCAGAGATAAACCATTTTTTTCCTGGCAGTGAAAAAAATGGAGGTCCTGTTCAAGTCAGGGATCAATTTAGTATGTTGGTAGAATATAATTATGAGATACTAGGATAATTGCCATAGAGGATGTTTTACTGCTATTAAATAACAGTATTTGTGGTGATGGTGTCTGGAAAGGACAAGTCTGTACTTCTTTAGAATTAGAAGGCAAAGAGCAATATTCCACTAAGCCCTGAATACATGGTTTTGGAATTTATTTTTTTAATTTTTAATTTAATAAAACATTTTTATCCCATCTTTCACTAAGCATCTCAACACAGCTTACAAAACATAAAGTCAACAACAATAAAAGTACATTCAATAGTACAATAGATAATAACAAATAAATTATAATAAATACAACCAGTAATAATAAAATAAAAATAAAATACCATCAAACCAATAAAAATGAATTAATCACATTCCTAAGGAAAATAAGAAAAAAAAGCGACTGTTAACTTCTAAAATCACTGATTCTTAAAATAACATTCAAATAAAAAGATTTTCACCTAGCGCCGAAAAGAATATAGGCTCAGCACCAGGCGAATCTCTCTGGGAAGTGCATTCCACAGTCTGAGTACCACTACAGAGAAGGCCCTACTCCAAGTAGACCTCCTCTTTACCTCCCTCAGGGAGGGTTCCTGGAGTAGGGCCGCTCCCCCAGATCTTAATGTTCATTCAGGTATCCCAGTCCCAAGCAGTTTAGGGCTTTATAGGTTAATATCAGCACCTTGAATTGGGCCCGGACTTCAACTGAAAGCCAGTGGAGCTGGTAGAGGATCTGCATTATATAAGAATAATGACCGGTCCCCATCAGCAACCTGGCAGCTCTATTTTGTACTAATTGAAGTATCCATTTTCAAGGGCAGCCCCACATAGAGTATGTTACAGTAATCCAACTGGGAGGTTATCAGAGCATGAATCATCGTTGCTAGGCAGTGCTCGTCCAGGTAAGGGCGCAGCTGATGGACCAGCCAAAGCTGGAGGAAGGTGCTCCTCATCACCACCATCACCTGGATCTCCAGGAGGGAGAAAAGCTCTACAGGAAGGGCTTAATCTGCTACTTTATGGTGGCATCTTCTGTCTGCATCGTTGGAAGAAAAATGTGTCTTTTTCACAGTTACTCCTTGGGTTTGTATTTCACTGCTTTTCTATGTATTAGAGTCATCGACCAAAAGGTGGCGCTGCAGTATAGTAGATGTGTGATCGCATGATTCTTTTGTTCCAATATGAAATTTAATACCAGATTTATCTTGTTCTCAGGGAATCCCATGAAAATGGCTGATAAATGTAGGAGAAGCTCTGGAGGGCCAAAAACCAAAACAAAGTCATGAAAAGGCCCTGCAAACTTTTGTGAACACCACAAGAAATGCCTTATGTAAAGAAGCCCAGCATTAAGCATTCCCTGCACTGTTACTGTCATCCTATCCTCATTGAAAGCACCACAACTGCTATTCAGCAAACAAAAATAAACAAACCCAGAGCACATTTTGATCATATCACCTAGCATGGCCCACAGAGAGAAGAGACAAAGCTTTCCAATTTGGCAATACTATGTTAATTTTTCTGGGAGCATGGCCAAACGAACACTACAGGACTTTCTTCTGCGTAAACCTTTATAGGATTGTTCTGCCCAAGAGTTAACATAGTATGACAGAGCCACCCTTTCCCGTGATGTGTGTACCACGGGCTTTGAAATTTCTTCCCATAAAGAACCCTTTCCACATCTGTGCATTTGCTAAGGAACTGCTGCGTGTCCTAGAGAACTGTGAGGTCAGTTTGCAGTTCCTGTGGGTTATCAGCAAGGCACATTTGCTACCGCTCCCCATGCACTGACTGTACTATGCCCAACACTCTCTGCCAACTGCATATCAAGGGAGAAGATTGTGAGGAAAGTGTGTCTACCATTATTGGTCTTTTGACTGAGAAATGCTTGAAAACCTCTTTCGGAACTGCTTGGAATACAGCTTGCAAGTCACAGAGATGCATAACGTACACATCCTTTGTCCTACTCTCCTCTTTAGCATTTTTAGGTTTTTGAAGCAGCTTGAAAAATCTACAGAAGTCATAGCTGGATGACCAGCGGTACTTCTGTGCCCCTTCTCACGTTCTTGCAGAAATAAGGGACAATGTAAATGGTTTTTGTAGTGGAACTTGATTAACTCGGCTTCGGAGACTGATACGAGGTATTTCACAACAGGTGAGCACCTTG